CGTTTGTTGACCAGAAATAGCAAAAGTAACCACCAGAAATTCCAGCTTGCATCTTACCAGTCCACCAACCCAACAGAAAGAAAAAAAAAACTAAATATTAGGTTGAAACATATAAAATTGCTATTTATGTAGGTCAAAATGGTTGAATCATGGCAGTTTCATATATTTCAACCTAATAGTTCCAGCAAAAGTCCCAATGCTAAAGTTCATTGGTCCAGCTTAGATTTCATAACCATTATTAAACCAGTCATTGTGGCCACTGAGATGCAGTATTCATATTGATCAGTCTTGAATCATATGCCTACACACTGAGCCATGTGGACAAAAATCGAAAGAGGACTGATTTCTCATAGGAAATTTAAGGTGCTATCATTAGAAAAGGGAGAATAAAAACTAAGCAAGCAAAACACTAGATGCCCATTATGCATACAAGAAACATTCCAAGATTGAAATTTACCGTGAATTTAATGAAGCCTAAACTTCAGGGAACCTCACTTGCATAAGCTCCTTCCTTCCAAGATGATGTACCTCATTTTTGTATTTAAATTTTTGTGTTCCTTGTCATAAAGAGGGGCTCCTAAATTGTATAAGCTTCAAGACCAACACAACCTGGATCTGCCCTTCATAGGAATACTCAAAAATATTCATGAAATTAATAAATAAATGTTCTCAATACATTGCACCCTCTCCTGCTTTTAGCAGAAAGAAACCATCAGTTAGATAGTTTATTCACTAAATTATTCAAAATAACTTAATCTCTTATCATTTGACCCGAACAAAAAAATAACTCAATCATGCCCTTCACATCTCCCTAGCTTCTGGAACTTGGAATCTTAATGTATTTTTCTCTGCCTCTATCACAGACTCGCTCAGATAAGGCCCCCCAACTTTTTTTTCACTTCTCTGAATGTTAGTTCCAGATGAAACCTGCCTCCTAGTATCACCTTTCATGAGAGGCCAATTCATTATGAGGTGCTCCTTTCTGGGTCCCACTATGGTTCCCTACAGAACCAATTTGAAGAAACTCAGCAATTGCTCATATTTATTCTAAACTGATATTCTTTTTTTAAAATTGCAAATCAAAATGAATTCTCAAAACTATCACAGAGAGAACTCAAAATATAAGCTATGTCTTATATTGGAGTGAATCTAGAATGTAACTCTTGTCAAAGCCACATACCTATAGGGAACCAAAGATCAGACATGTCCCAAAATCAGATCTGGGTAACCAGAAAATGTGCCTGTTGTTGAGATTTCCAACTACACTTTACCCTTCTGCTTGGCAGTCAGACAGCCTCAGGAATGTAAATTCATGCAGTTTTGAATGTGGGGGAAGGTTAGGAAACTAAGCCTGCCTGCTGCTATTCTGATTACAGCATTTGTCGCTGGCTGGGAGAGACAGCTCTGAGATTGATGCTATTTTTCTCCCTTCTCAGGAAAATGGCTTGGGCTGTGTATCAGGGAAGGCCAAGGGGCAGCTATGAGTGACAATTTCCGCTTAATCCCCCAGCAGGTTCCTAAGTCAGTAGTCCTTCAGATATGGCATTGCATTTGACCTATTTATTCCATCCCCTGCTCCCTGCCCCCCAGCTCCTGCAAGAAATATGGCATAGAAACAGGGCAGTGCAATTATATTGCCTTTTTTTCTTTAAATTTGTTAAATTGTCTCTAGGCAGAAGAAGTGAGGTGGGGGTTAGAAACCAGATGGTTGTAACTGGAGTAGAAACCTACTATTCAGTAGCTTTGAGATGCTCAAATCTGGTAGAAGTGGCTATTTCCAAGCAGGAAAAGGGGAAGAAGCAACAGAACCGTGGGAAAAGATTTCCAGCAGATTGATCTCCAGTGTCTTATTCTCTCCAACCCATGTTCACACACATGTAAAAGATATTCCCTTTTCCCTTAATTCTCCAAAGCACCACCAACAATGGGTTATGGCAGACTTTTCTTGAAAGTTGTGGGGAGGGTGCAAGGATAAGCTGGTGATAATGAAAGGGGTTTATAACACAGGACTTGAATCACCTACAAATGAATATTATCCATCCTTCTTTAAAGCCCCTCAGCCTCTCTGTTATCTTCCTCCTCATCATCCTAAGCATCCTCACCCCTCACGAACCCCCAGGCACCTGATGTATTTCTCCGCTTCTCTCTTTACACACATGAAGTAGAAAGAAAACTGGGGCTGGGCCTGGTGGCTCATGCCTGTAATCCCAGCACTTTGGGAGGCTGAGGCAGGCAGAACACCTGAGGTCAGGAGTTTCAGACCAGCCTGGCCAACATTGTGAAACCCCCTCTCTACTAAAAATATAAAAGTTAGCCAGGCATGGTAGCACATGCCTATGGTCCACTAGCTCAGATTGCAGGAAGGGATGTCTACCTCCTTCTCAGATTTGATAATTCACTAGAATGACACAGCACTCAGGAAAGAGATTTACTTACTATTACCAGTCTATTGTAAAGAATACAGCCCAGGAACAGCCAACTAAGATATGTCTGTAGGGCTACTCAGAAGGCTGCGCTCCAGCCTGCGAAACAGAGTTAAGAATCTATAAAATGAACAAATGAACAAAAGAAAGAGACAGAGAGGAAGGAAGGAAAGAAGGGAGAGAGGGAGTGAGGGAGGAAGGAAGGAAGGAAGGAAGGAAGGAAGGAAGGGAGAGAGGGAGGGAGGGAGGGAGGGAGAAAGGAAGGAAGGAAGGGAGGAAGGAATTTGAGACTGTAGGAAAGAAAAAGAGTCAGGGAGCTGACTAAGCACTAACCTGTTATTTTCTTATATTTGGAGAGATTCAGCAGGCAGAAGAGCCCTTTCTCTTAGTCTCTGGACCATCTAAACACCTGAAGGATAGCAGCACACCAAGGTCTGGGGGTAAGGGCTGATGCCTCCTTCCTCTAGTCTTTGATAGGGAAAACTGACTCTCAAGCTTGTGTGAAGTTCTGATCAAGTGTAGTGGCTCACACCTGTGGTCCCAGCACTTTGGAAAGTATGGATCACTTGAGCTCAGCTCATGTTGCTAGCCTGGGCAACATGGTGAAATTCTGTCTTTACAAAATATTAGCTGGGGTGGTGACATGTGCCTGTAGTCCCAACTGCTTGGGAGGCAGAGGTGGGAGGATCACCTGAGCCCGGGAAGTTGAGGCTGCAGTGAGCTGTGTTGGTGCCACTAAATTCCAAACTGGGTGATGGAGCAAGACCCTGTCTCAGGAAAAAAGAAAAAATGCAGCCAAATATCCACTCAATTATCCACCTGTTAGAGTTTTTTCCTCCCCCTAAAAAACGATGTCTTTTCCAAAAGCACTTCTCCATCTCTCTGACACCAATTAGGTGGCCTATAATTCATTTCTGGCACTAATTCATTTCTGGCACTAACCAGAGTTAACACCAGATTTACAGCCTAAAGGGCTCAGTCCCACAAGACTGCCCTCACCTCAGAGGCCAGTTACAAGTATGGGATCCACAGGTTACCAACTCTTCTGTCAAACTTGGCTACAAATTCAGGGGTTCCTACAACCTCCTTCTCAGGTTTGGTAATTCACTAGCCTGACAGCACTCAGTAAAGAGCTTTACCCTCTATTACCAATCTATTCTGAATGAGCCAACTCAGGAGCAGCCAACTGGAAGAGAAACATAGGGCAAGGTATGGGAAAGACATGGAACTTCCATGCTCTTTCCTGGTGTACCACCCTTCCAGCACCTAGATGTCTTCCACAACCCAGAAGCTCCCCAAACTCCATTGTTACTTAGGAGTTTTACAGAGGTTTCTTTATGTAGGCATGATTGATTAAATAATTGGCCATTGTCACTAGCTCCTCTCTTTTCCCCTGAGGTTGGGGATGAGAGTGAAAGTTGCAAGCATCTAATCAAGCCTCGGTCTTTCTGGTGACAAGATGACTTATCCTAATAACTCAGGCAATTTCCAAGGGTTTTAGGAGTTCTGCACCAGGAACTGAGGACAAAGACCAAATAATTCTTTTATTATAGCACCTAATTATGTTTACTCGCCTTGTAAAGAAAAAATGTATAGCCACCCTCCTTAGGATATTAGCCTTCCTGGCTATTTCTGGCTTTCTGTTTCTATACGCTTTCCGTATCCCTTTAACAGACTGACCAGGAACCTCTGATCTGTACTTATTAGACTTACTAATACATAGCTAGTTTTTCGTATGGCAGACCCCTTTATCTCCCTCTCCAAACAAATCATTCAGGAGAACAAGCATCCTTAAAGCATTAGAGTTGAATGCCCACAACACTCTTTCTTCCTCCCAGAAGAACCTTAGGAGGATGTCAGTGGGAAGGGTGTATTTAAATGGCTGAGGGCCTCATCCCCACTCCTTTTCCATACAGGCATCATCCCCACTTTTCTGGGCCACCTCTGTTGGCTTCTGGGTTACTGATATCCCATAAATGAGAAGATCATTTTGAGTGTCCAGGGAGACATCTTGGCTCTTATTTGTTCAAGTCTCTGGAAAGAACTCTAGGAGCTGGGTCCTGAGACCCTGGAATTCAAGACCAAGAGCTTTACTAGTTGAAATGGGATGGGGATGAGGGCCAATCTGAGTGAATGCCTCTGTGCATTCTGCCTCACTGGCTCTCCTTCCCCCTCCATGAACAAAGACAAAATAAAAACAAAAACAAGTCAGGGAAACAAAGCTTTTCTTTTAGGTTATCAAGAGATCTTCCAATTGGAGCAAAACCTCACTCTCTCCTGCGGCCCCAGACAGTCTCAATCTCAGATGATGAGGGCCTCAAGCCCAAACTGGTTTATTTGAAATCCATGTTTAGGTCCCAGCATGTGGCATGTGCTCCACTCTGATGACACTTTTAGTTTCTAATAATAGAGCAGATGAAGTAATATTGCAATTGATGTTCCCGGGGATTTGATTGGATAAGTGCATAAAGTGTGGAGGGGGAAGGGGGTTGCATGGACAGATCACATTAGTATTCCCGTCCTATCAATGTGCGGGCCCGTGAACAACGTCAGCCGGACCGATTCTCTGCGTCTGCCAGTCCCGCCACAGATTCGTCTGGGATCTTCAAACAGACGAGCCCTTAGAGACGAGGGATCAAGGCAGCCGATTAGAGCCAATTGCTTGCTTTGGGGACGGCCAGTCCTTCCAGGCCTGGCGACAGTGGAGGGAGGGGAAAGACGAACCGAGCGCCGCTGCGGGAAGACACTGAAGCAAGAGCGACACCCCTTTCCGCCCCCCACCTTGCAGCGCAGGCTTTGAAAGCTGCTCCCCCACCTGAATGGAAACTCAGAACCGCCGGGCGGCGCGTTCCTTCTCGCCCAGCCTTGAGATCCATGCCGAGAGGAAGGCAGAGCGAGCCCGCGCCAGCGCCCAGCTCCCGGGACAGGGTCGGCAATGCTGCTGAGCAGAACTTGATCGCGCCCCTTCCTCGCTGCTAGTGGAAGCGATGCTGCAAGGCACAGCCAGCGCTTCCCCGGCTCTCCTTCAAGCTGAAGGTTACCGACCCGCGCAGCCAGCCCCAGCACTGTGAGCTGCGCGCCTCAGGTCCGGGCTCCGGGTGCTTGGCGGCGGCGCGCAGGGCAACGACCGGGCCGCCCGCGCCGGGGCGCACTGCACCAGCGGCTTCGGCTTGGTGGATGTGTATGCATGAGTTCTGCACCGAATGGGCGCAAAAAGCGCCCCAGCCGGTCCACCCGCTCCTCGATCTTCCAGATCAGCAAGCCCCCGCTGCAGAGCGGAGACTGGGAGCGCAGGGGCAGCGGCTCCGAGAGCGCCCACAAAACCCAACGAGCCCTGGACGACTGCAAGATGGTGGGTGAAAACTGCGCCTTCTTTTTATTTATTTATTTATTTTTTTTGGAGAGGGGGTGGGGGGAGTCCTGTATGTTAATCATTTGCTTGAGTGCCAGCCACTCCCCCACCCTCAGCTTCTCAATGCCGATCACGTGGCACATGCACTATTTTTAAATCTGCAGTCCCCTAAATTCGGGGTGACACCCCGGTCGTAAGGGCCCTGCAGAGAGTAGTGTCACAGCAAGGGTCTTGGAGATCAGCGCCTGTGGGCTGTGCCTCTAGCTCCTGGAAGAATGGTGGATGGATGCGAAAGACACAGTGAACTGGCTCGCTCACAGGGGAGGGAGGGATGAGGAGGTGGGGATTCTGCTTTCTGGAGAGAGAGTAGCAACAAACCCAAATACAGCGCACAGGGCGCTGCGGAGGGGTCGAAGGTTCCAGCGCAGAGCCTGTAGCTGGTCTTCCCGTCAGGCAGTCAGGCCGTCTGGCCGAGAGGTTCAGTGGCCCACCAATAGTGGTTTGCCTATTACACCCTACCTGTGGTCTCCCCCGCCCCTCCCGCCGTGCAACTTAAAAGCCACATCCTAGCAGTAGCAGAGGGGAGCGTCTATGCCGGAGACCCCAGCATCATTTTCTGTTGACCTGGGAGTGGCGCGGTAGCGCTCCAAATATGCTCTCTTGCTCTTCAGAAACTGAGTCTGGAAGGGTGAGGGCAAGCAGGTCTGGAAATAGAGCTTCCATGGCCAGGCTTGCCTATGAAAATAAACACTTGCCTTTGACAAAGAGACTAAAATCTTGGTGCCTTCTGGTTTAAACAATTCCTAGGCTCCTTAGCTGGAGATCTGGGGAACTGACTCAGGGGTCCGTGAAGGTCCCCGTTTATGTACTCCGAAATAGGAAACTTTTCTTATGAGAAATGTTTGGTGAAAAAAAAAAAACCTCACTTCTTTTCCAGCTTGTCCAAGAGTTCAACACACAAGTGGCCCTGTACCGAGAGTTCGTCATTTCTATTGGGGATGTCTCGGTCAGCTGCCCCTCACTCCGGGCGGAAATGCACAAGACGAGAACCAAAGGCTGTGAAATGGCCCGTCAGGCACACCAGAAACTGGCTGCCATCTCAGGGTAGGAGACTCGGCATTATTTGGTAATTCATATACATGACGCATGGATGCTGACAGAATTTTATGGTAGCCAAGGCCTCAGAGATGATCTCCACATATTTGAGATTTTAATCTTGAGATCGAAATTCTCTAGAGAGCTATACACAAACTATAGGCCAAGCTATAATTTGAAGGCTGAGTGATTCTTGTATATATGTATCTATATTTAGAAGATATGGATCAAGTGATTTTTTTTAAAACTTAATTTTCAACATGCTGGCCACGTATTGGAATTTGGAGCATAAGATTTGGGGTGGGTGGTTGGGTATCAAACTTAAGTTAAATCATCATACCTCAAGATTATTTTGTCATCTGCTACTGAACAAAAGGCCTGTGCTGTAGAGAAAAAAAATCTTTCCTAAATCCCATATTTACTAAACTATTTATACCATGAGATAAATTCCTATGATACCGCTTAAAATAAAATCCCTAAAATAAGGTCTTGGATATAAATTACTCTCTTCACTGTGGTGATATGAAGGGGTAAGTTTTAGCGTAAGAACAGTTTTTAAAGATTAGGGAAATTCACAAATCTCAGTAAACCTAAGCTGACATTGTACCACAAATTTTTATTTATTTTCATCAGATTTATGGTTTTTCAAGCCTATATTAGGAGATAATTCAGTATGTGAAAACTTCTCTCTTGGGACCCTACCTACTTCTTTCATCTCTTCATATTGAGGGAAAAAGTTAGCCATGGCTTTTGTTAACAGTTCCTATTTTCAAGATAAATACTTAGAGCAAAGAAACAGAGGAATCCTTATACAAATACATTGATACATTAATTTAAGTGCTTGATTCAGTCTGGAGATAGCCTTTATCTATTTATCTATGTGAGTATAACTTTATCAGAGTAGAAGTTCAAATCAGTCATTCACCTGATAATGTCACAAACTGATCACCTGTAGGAATTATATCTAATTTACCTATTTGAAAGAATCACTCTTTGCCATCTTTAATTCCAATAATATGTATAGTGACTATTATATGTTGCCTCTCTTAATAATTAGTTTACATTTGACCACAGACATTTATTTCATGAAAAATGATACACTATAATCATCTCCTTGAAGAGAGGGATAAGCAAAATATGTTATAACCCTGTTTTATTTGGTAAAAATATTGAGAGGTTATCCTTTCCTGTTTTAACTCTTATACTATTCTTAGCAAGAAGTAAATCTGCAAAAAACTGAACCACTTAATTCTCCAAAAAGGAGAGGAATTAAGTGGTTCAGGAGTTTGGGGAAGAAATGTAACTGTGATAAATCCCAGACAAGGAGAGAGAAGTGGGGGGGGGGGGGGGGCGGGAATCAGAAATGTGAAGGAACACTGGTAAATTTAAAGGTACAGAGAAACAATAATTCAGAAGGAAAAGCAGATTTAGGACAGGAAATTCTTTCTCAGGGCTAAGGAGTAGCATCTCTGTAAACTTATGTCCTGCAGTATAGGATGGGATTGCATTTAGGATCCCTTTGAGTTGAGACTCAAAATGAGAACATGTTCTAATCAGAGAAGGTGGGCTGGAGAAATGAACAAGGAGTTCGATTCAGTCTATTTTGCTACACACACGAAATTCAAGGTCTTCTAAAGGTTCAGGAAAGAAAGGGTCTGAAACTATTGGCTAAAAGTTGAGTTTGGAGGATTTCCAGTGGATTTTTTTTTCTTTGAGAGGTGTGCTAGGTCTGTTACCCTGGGTGGTCTTAAACCCTTGTACTCAAGCAATCCACTTGCCTCAGCCTTCAGAGTAGCTAGGACTATGAGAATGCACCATGGCACCTGGCTTGAGGTGGATGTTATTTACTATGGTGTTTTTAGCTCTTTGCTACATGCTTACATGTTATCTAAGGGTTGATGTTAATGGGGGCAGTTTTATAATAATTAGTGGGAAAATAAGGTGTCACTAGATCCTTGCAAAAGGAAAGCCTACTCCATAAAATATTCTAGGATAGAATTTGACACCTTTCCCTCCTTACAATAATAATTAAATGCAATGTAACTTCTTTATTTAAAAATGACAGCAATATAATGGAAGGAAATCCCTTTAGTTCCTCACCATCTGGACTCCATTAATGAAAGATGTGATTCCCTTCGGCGGAATCCGTTTCTGATATGGCTTGTTATGTGGGCTGTTGTTTCAAGCTTGATGTGAAGGCTGGGAGGGAGGCTGTAGGAGTCACTTTAAAGTTTGAAGCAGGGATGAGAAAAGCAAAGGGTTTTGGCAAAATTTAGAGAGAAGAACTGAATTTCTTGAGCGCCCACTATTTGTCATCACAATCCAGCTATTTCCTTTCAGCCGAGGGAGGGATTATTATTCTTATTCTACAAATAGGTCTAGAGAGATTGAGGAACTTGCCCAAAGTCACACAGCTAAGAAGTGACACAGCTTTGATTCTACCCATGTTTGCGTGCTTCTGATACTCGTGCTTTTTCCTCTTTATGATGCTGTCATTCAAAAGTTGTTATGTATAAAGGATACATGTTAAAATATGAATGAACCTTAAAAAGAGTATGCTAACTGAAAGAAGCCGGTCAGAAAATACTACATATCATATGATTCCGTTCATGTGAAATGCTCAGAAAAAGCAAATCCATAGAGACAGAAAGTAGATTAGTGGTTACCTAGGACTGGAGGTGAGAGCAGGTAGAGACGACAGATGAGCTCGAGGAATCTTTTTGGGATGATGAAAATGTTCCAGAATTACACTGTGGTGATGGTTGTACAACACTGCCTATTTACTAAAAGTCATTGAATTGTACACTAATGATGAGTGAATTGTGTGGCATATAAAGTATAACTCAATAATTGTTTTTTTAGACAGGTATTATCACCATCACCATGATTAACACTTGCTTTTTTTGTCGACTTCATTATTTTCTACATATGTAGCTTTTAATGAAGGGATATGAGCTATAGGGTAAGGAAAAGTCACACTTGGCTCCCCACACATTCATCAAGACACCTGCCTCATGGCTATTGTTTAAGCACCAATGCTTTGCTCTGTGTAGGAATACAAGTGTGGGAAAGGCAGGACTTGAAGGAGTAAATGAATTTATGTATTTTCTACCAGTACAGACCCTCACTTCCTGGTCTGCCAGCTGGCTTTGGGGGTCACAGGAGGTAGACTGTATTGAAGGTGGACAGGGTAAAAATAAGATGAGGCAAAATAGAGCGGAAGAGGGAAAACAAGGAGTTAGCATTAAACAAGCCACTAATGCTGCATACCTTTCATGCCTGACCAACTGAAGCCCTTAAGGATTGGTAGAGCTCACAAGAGAGGAAAACAGACTGTTTTTTCTAACTGGCCCTGTATCAGAAGGCCATCTTCACAAATGCAATCAACACACTTTCTCAAATTATGGTTATATCAGCAGAGTTCAGGCACAGCCTTTTCTTTCAAAGGCATCAGGTATCTGCATTCTGGACGACCCAGTCAGATGAATACAAAGTCTCCTCTGACTGGCTTGATTTACTAAAGTTATGATACCTTTACAATACTGATCCTCTCCCAGACATTAAAGCTAAGAGGGGCCTTAAAGATCACTTGCAAGAATGGGCCTCAAAGTTTTTAGCAGTAAATCCTCCCTTCAATCTGAATGTAGAAAGCCACATTTATAAAGATGGCCACAGTGGCATTATTCTGCACTGCTTGGGGGGGGTGTGTGTGTCCACGTGCATATAAGGAGTGGGCCAGGTCCTGCCTTTTGGACTTCCTACCCAAAGTGACTTCTGAGACACTTCAAAGAATCCCTAGGGCTCCATGGTACTTTATATTTAAGGAGTCTGAGATTCAGAGGATTTAAGTGACTTTCAAGGGAACTTGACAAAGAATACGTGAAGATTTTAGAGTCAGACAGACCTGGACTGAGTATCATCTTTTATAACCTTGATGGAATACTTAACTCTCTGAGTCACAATTCCTTCATCTGTAAACTAGTGTCATGCCCGCTCACAGGGAAGTTGAGAGAGTTAAGTGAGCTAGGTACGTGAAGCAGGGACCACATGTCCATCCTGTCAATGGCACTACCAGTCAGAGGCTGCTTTAAGACTGTAACCTGGGTCTCCTGTTCCCTGGTCTAGTACCTATTCCATCAGCCACACCAGAGAATGAGGAGAGGCAAGTACAGTACACAAGATAAGAGTGGCCCCAGGAGCCAATACCCTCCAGCGCACCTCGGGAATTACTGCTATGGCTGGGGGGCTGATGGTCAGGATTCCTTTTCTGCTTCTGTGCTTCTGTGGTGTCTGTGTTGGACTGAATCTTTCTCACACTGCTGCTTTTGGTTAATGGCTGCTCAAGAGAATCAAAATGTAGAAGGATTTACTCCAGATCTTGTTTAAGAATGACAATGTGAGAGACAGTAGAGTGTGATGGGAAAGAGCACTGATTCTAAATCAGATTAGACCGCTTGCTAAGGACAGGTGTGAATTTGTAGGCAAATTGATTCACAGAGTGGTGAGTGGTACTCTGGTACAGTGGTTAAGTATGTAGACTTTGGGGCCAGACTGGCAGTCTAACGGTGCTGCTATTCACATGTAGTATGAAGTCGGGCAAAGATACTGTCTCTTCCTCTCTGCCTCAGTTTCCTCAACAGCAAAATGGAGTTAATGAATAATGGGACTGGAGTATATGGCATGGTGAGGATCAAGTACTTAGGAGACTGCAAGCATATAGTAAATGCTATTAAGCACAAGTTAGTGTTAATATAATGAGACATTTAAAAATACAAATTATTGAGATACATTTATATAAAAAATGTTAATCTGTCAAATGTCTTCCAAATAAATACTTGAACTGGAATAAATCTTTGTTTACCTTGGTTTCTTATATTCTGAGACATTTTCTAGGTTGAAGTTTCCCAGATGGCTATCAGAAAGCCTGTTCTGGGATACTATAAAAATTACATGGAGATGTGAAGCTTCAAAAGTAGTTATATTTAGAAATTTTTTATATAAATCAACCT